TGCCTGCACAGCCCTCCAGACCGCCCGGCAACAGCACAACCATGTGACAACACCTCTGAATAGAAAGGTCACAGTAGGCAGCCATGGGCAGTGACATGTAGCACCCGAGAGCTGGTAGAAGTTTTCTGTCCACCAGTAGAAGATTCTCCACTTCTGGCTTAGGCAGGGTAAGACACTTGGACTCCTCTTGCAGTAGTAAAACTCTAATTTGGAATCAAATATGGTGATCTTAGTTAAAAAAAAAAAATTAAAGGCCATGCTTACTGCTTAAAAATGAAGCCTTAAGCTGCATCAAGTTGTGATGTGATTAATTTTCCTCTCAGCAAGTTCCTAGAGGTTCTGGAAAAAGTCCTTCCTGACAGGTTGTCTTCAGGAAGAGAGGACTGCACACCCTACCAGGTCAGCTCTCTCCCGGTAGGCTCTGCCAACACACGTTTCTCCTCTTGGAGTGTGTTCTTAGTCCACAAGGTTCCATGCAGCTGGAAAGCGGGTACTGGGGCCAGGCAAAGGACAGTTCTTCCTCCTGCCCACCTCACATGGCCACCTGCCTCAGCTGCTGCTGGTGTGGTAGGACTTGACTACACTGTAGCCCCATAGGGCAGACTTCAGATGCTATGGGTTCTTGGAGCTGTGCTGGGAGGGTTTCGTTCTCCCCACTTATACTGTGTGTTTAAATTAATGCTATGCTATGAATCATTGTCTTTTTCCTATGTGAAGGTCTGCTCAAGAGAGCAGAGTGCAGTGTGAGCCAGTGAAGGCTCCCACCGTGCAGCTAGAGCACACAATCCATCCTCAGCCTGGTAGCCATAGCTTCATACTGGTAACATGTCATTGTCCATGTGTTTCAAGGTTTTGAGCACTAGCATAAGAGAGGATAATGAAGAACACTTTCTCAGTAGCCTCCTTTGTATTTTCCTTTATAATTTACAAAAGTAAAGCATCTATTAGCGTCTGACTCAAGAATGTAAAATGATTCTGTATCAATGTAAATAAGATTATTTACTGCAAAAGATATTTAAAACCTACATTGTGGTCATTTCTTCTTTGAAAGAGTTCAAACAACCTGCAGGCAGTCCCACAGGGACTGGAGGGTCAGCTGCCTTCCTCCACAAGGTTACTCCCCCGCAGCTTAGCTGGTATAGTGTCTTGACAGTATTGCTCCCCCACTGCCCAAACCCAAAGCAGGGTACCCCATCGAACAGCATTCTCCTGTGCAAATGCTCTCGCACCTGGCTGACTTGGAGAGCCTGTGCTAAGATGTACATTGGCTCCTTTTCCTTCATTACCTTCAGAAAGTTTTCACCTATTTATTTTTGTAGCTACACTCAAGACCTTGTACTATTGCTTGGTTTTCTTGCACATGGCTGGTGCTCTACAACTTGAGTGAATCCTCCAGCCCTGGTTGTTATTGTTTTGTCGGTTGCAGGGCCTGTACTCTGGGCCTGGGAGCTGTCCCTCAGCTCTTCAGCTCAAGGCTAGCACTCTACCACTTGAGCCACAGCACCACTTGCCTTTTCTGCTTATGTGGTGCTGAGGAATAGAACCCAGGGCCTCATGCATACAAGGCAAGCACTCTACCACTGAGCCACCTTCCCAGCCCCACTAGCCCTGTTTTTTGCTGATTATTTTGGAGAGGAAGCCTCATAGGTTTTTCTGTCCAGGCTGACTTCAAACCACTATCCTTTAGGTCTCAGCTTCCTGAGTAGATAAGATTATAGATGTAAGCCACTGAGAGTTCGATGAGTTTAACCCACCTGTGCTTCCAGGAAAGCCTTAGTGCTGTCTCTCTCTCTCTCACACACACACACACACACACGAAAGCTGATGGATAAGAAAGGCTCAATAGAGATTCTCTTCAAACTTGAGATATTTTCCCCTATTTCATTCACATAGTGCTCAGACACAATTCTAGAGAGGGGATAAAGCAATGAGGTTAGACAGTGTCTCAGGAAAGCATAGGTCTGTGGGAATTGAGTCTTACTTCTGTACTTGGAAAGAGGGTTCTAGGAAGACTTTAGAAGAGGAAGGTGTATAGCTGGGCACCATTGGCTCACACTTGTAATCCTAGCTACTTAGGAGGCTGACATCTGAGGATTCTGGTTCAAAGCCAGTCAAGCAGCAAAAAGTTCAAATGATAGAGTGCTGGCCTTGAGCAGAAAAGCTAAGGGACAAGCTGGGCACTGGTGGCTCATGACTATAATTCTAACTACTCAGGAGGCTGAGATCTGAGGATCATGGTTCTAAGTCAGCTGGGCAGGAATGTACATGAGATTCTTAGCTCCAATAAACTACTCAGAAAAAGCTGGATGTGGTGTTGTGGCTCAAGTTATAGCGCACTAGCCTTCAGCAAAAGAAGCTAGACACTGTATCCAGGCCCAGAGTTCATGCCCTCCGACTGGGGGAAAAAAAAAAAGGTGTTGTCCTCTGTCTAGAAGGACAGCATTGCTGCTGTGAGGCCTCCTCAGGTAGAAGTGCTATACAACATTTACAGACTTCTGCTTTCATGTTCATTTCTACATGTAGCTTCTAAGCGTTTGATTCCAGACTTCTTTGTGCCCTCTGAGCTAGTGTGCAATATGGTATATTTAAAATAAAGGTGTTTCAGGGCTAGGGATGTGGCTTAGTGGTAAGAGTGCTTGCATGCATCAAGCATGCATCAAGCCCTGGGTTTAATTCCCCAGTACCACATAATCGGAAAAAGCTGGAAACAGTGCTATGGCTCAAGTGGTAGAGTGCTAGACGTAAGCAAAAGAAGCTCAGAGACAATGCCCAGGCCCTGTAGTTTAAGCCCCAGGACTGGCAAAATAAATAAGTAATATATATATATTTTTAAAGGTGTTTCTAGGCCTGTGACCTCTGGGGATTACAAATAGGGAGAAGGTACATGGCTGTTCAGCCTTTGCTGCAATCTTAGGAGGATCCATTGGGACAGGTATAGTAATGGAGTGGACAAAGTGGACTCTTGGGGAATTAGCCTTCAGCTCCTGCCTTCTCAGGCCTTTGCACCCTTCCCCATCATCAAAACCCCTCAGCAGACTAGAATCCTTTTCACCAAGCATAGTGGCTTGGTGATAGGTTTGTAATCCTAGCCCTCAGGAGGCTGAGGCAAGAGAAGCATGAACGAGTTCCAGGCTAGCCTGGGCTGCACACAACCAACAAAAACCAGAACCTTTGCTAGTCCCACAAGCCTTGCCACCTCTGTGCCAAAACTGCCCTGGCCTATCCTGCTGTGTATCCTTGGGCTGGCTCTGAGGCAGATGAAAACATCTCTGATGGTTTGTTTAAATACTCTTGCTTGTTAAGCATCATTAAACATATACTCTGTTGTTATATCTTCTAGCTAGAATTCTGCTTGTTTAGCATGACACTCTTTTTTTTTTTGGGTCCGGTCATGGGCCTGAACTCTGGGCCTGGGTGCTGTCCCTCAGCTCTTCAGCTCAAGGCTAGCATTCTACCACTTGAGCCACAGCGCCACTTCTGGCTTTTTTTTCCTGCTTATCTGGTGCTGAGGAATTGAACCCAGGGCCTCATGCATGCAAGGCAAGCACTCTACCACCGAGCCACCTTCTCAGCCCCAAGCATGACACTCTTAAAGGGTCAGGATCTTTACATAATAGAGTAAGGTAGATTTACAGTCATGTGGCCAAGGACATGGCCAGAACCTGTGTCTATACAGTGAGAAGAGGTACAGACCAGGTGCCCTGTCTGTTGGAGTCACCTGTTCCTCCTCCAGCCTAAGGGATTCTTGGAGATTCCAAACCCAGTCCTGTGAGATTGGCCTTTCTAGGAGAACCAAAACATTTGTTTTGTTTTTTTTTGCTGGTCCTGGGACCAGCACTATCCCTGAGCTTCTTTTGTCTCAAGGCTAGCATTTTACCACTTGAGCCATAGTACCATTTTCAGCTTTTTCTGAGTAGTTTATTGGAGATAAGTCTTACCAACTTTCCTGCCCAGGCTGGTTTTGAACCAGGATCCTCAGATCTCAGCCTCCTGAGTAGCTAGGATTACAAGTGCGAGCCACCAGTGCCTGGCTCAGATACGAGGCTTTTACACAGGGATCTTACTAACCTCATCTCTCCGGCAATAACGCTGTTGTGATATCTTTCACATACCTTAAATTTGTATATTATGAAGGCTTTTAGTTCACATTGATTGAACATCACCAATTTTAGAACTCTACAAAGAAACCTTGTGTGGGTTAGCATTCACTCATTCTTGGCTCTCTGGTGCCCCCTAGTCTCTGATGGTTCCTTTTCTATTTTCTGTGTGTGGACTTGCCTGTTCTGGACATTTCCTATACATGTGATCCTTTGAATCTGACTTCCTTCAATTAATGTTCTTCAGGCTTATCCATGCTATAGAATGCATCAGAATGTCATTACACAGTATAGTAAAAATAATCCATTGTATGGCTTTTTTTTTTGGTCTGTCTTGGGTCTTGAACTCTGGGTCCTGGGTACTGTCCCTGAGCCTCTGTGCTCAAGGATAGTGCTCTACCATGAGCACAGCGCCACTTCCAGTTTTCTAATGGTTTATTGGAGATAAGAGTCTTACAGACTTGCCTGCCTGTGCTGGCTTTGAACTGCGATCCTCAGATCTCAACCTCCTGAATAGCTAGGATTACAGGCATGAGCCACTGGTGCCCGGCTTTCTGGCCTGGTCTTTTGCAGCCCTGGTGTCAACTGTGTCTACTCTGTTTCTATGTGGCTTTCTCACCATATAAACTTCTCAAGGCTGGGGCTGGGAAGGTAGCTCAGCGGTAGAGTGCATGCCTTGCAAGCATGAGGCCCTGGGTTCGATTCCTCAGCACCACATAAACAGAAAAAGCCGGAAGTGGCCCTGTGGCTCCAGTGGTAGAGCACTAGCCTTGAGCTGAAGAGCTGAGGGACAGCGCCCAGACTGAGTTCAGGTACCATGACTGGCAAAAAAACAACAACAACAACAAATAAACTTCTCAAGGCAGAGGGTATAACTTGTTTTTTTGTGTCAAGGTTGTATTTAAGTTGTCAAGGAAATGCCTGTTTTCTAGATGTAGAATAAATCTCATGGGGATGCTGCTCCTTTTATACCTCAGCTCATAGGTCAGGGTGGAGTTTGATAGTGATTACACAAACTCATACACAGGTTAACATTCACTTACCATGGAATCTCAGCAGGTAACTTGTGCTCTTCAAAAGGAGCCAAGTTGGAGTTGGTTCACCACAATGGTCTTTGCTGTAGGCAGCACCATTGTCCTGTGGTCTACAACTTTGCCATCCTCCCTCCCACCCTCCTGACTATTGTGAAAGTTCTGTCCATCTTGGGCTATACCAGACACACAGAAAGGGAAAAGGAGAGGGGTTTCTAATTTTTTCTTTCCCTTCCAAGTCTGTCACTATTCAAAATAAATGTGCAGATGGCCACTGGCTCTGGAGATGCAAGGGGTGCGTACAGGGTGTTGTTGATGCTGAGGCTCCTCTTTGTGCCTAGTGCACATCTAACATCTGTGCGTCTCTTTTGGCCAGGGTGGAATACTCCACACGTAAACATTAACGTTTTCTTCTCTGCAGTTACCTTCTGGCTAGCCAGTTCTCCCATTTCCCCTTTATTTCAGGGAAGAGAGAGAGGCTTCCCACACCAGCCATTTCATGTCTCCTGCTGGGTTTTTCATGCTGTCGGTGCCCAACAGCTGCCACTCCAACCCACGTCCCAGAGACAGAGCCCTTTTCTTTTTGAAACCATCTGTAAGAACAATGGCTTTGTTTCAAAAAAAAACAACAACAAACTTGTACACAGGACAGATGATTGTGCCTCTAAGCCTCCCCACACACACTAGAGGGGCTTCCAGATAGGCCGGTCACAGCCGGGCAAAGTCCCCTTTGTGCTGCTCCAGCCACTGGTCTAGGGTCTGGGCCTTGGGGTTGAGGTGCAGGGTCAGCTCGATGTTTCGGTCGGGTTTCAGGGCATAGAAACGGAACATGTTGGCTAGGTCACGGGCCCCAGGGAAGCCAAGTTTCTCATAGTCCTCAGGAGTTGTCTGGAAACAGAAAACCCATGTTGCTCCATCTTGTCTCCAATGTGGGGAGAAGCTAGACCTGCTTCCCACCCTGCCCCCAGTCGCTGTTGGCCATAGTCTGCAGTCATGTGAAAGATAAAAAGTTTGGAAGCCAGTATCCCTGGAGATCTATTTGATATTAGTTGGTTTAGATCTTCTTTCAAAATCATAAAATGAAAGCCTTTCAAAACAGTAGAAAATGCAACATCACTTTCTAGCTCAAAAGTCAAAACGGTTGCCTTTCCCTACAGAAGTGAATCTCCAAATCTTCACAACCCTGACCTAAGCCCTCTTAAAAAAAAAAAAAAATGTAACTTGACTCCTTAGTGTCCATTTCAACGTTTCCTTTGAAAGTGCTAAGAAAGCTCTAATACAAACTACCATGTTAATCCTCAGCCACCCATGGGGATAGACTGTATTTACCCATTTATGAATAAGGGAGGCCAGGGACTTAGCATGCTCACACATTGGTGGATTAGGGCTAGAACCTGGATGTGAATCTAGAAGCTTGGGCCCTCCACCCCTCCTTTTCCCTCTGTGGTTCTGCTTAGGTCTGAGTGGGAGCTGCAAAAACTTGGTATTTTTCAGTTTCTTACATGAGTAGTAGGTCCTACTTTCTAAAAAGAAACAAGGCACTCAGGGGTCTGAACAAGAAGCCTGAGGGAGCCAGGCGCCGGTGGCTCACGCCTGTAATCCTAGCTACTCAGGAGGCTGAGATCTGAGCATCATGGTTCAAAGCCAGCCAAGGCATGAAAGTTTGTGAGAAAAGTGAGGATAGGGGAACTTCCTGTTTTACCCATTCAGGCCCAGTGCAGGACAGGTCAGGCCTTTGTCCAGCCAGGACTGCTGTCCATTCTTGCAGAAATCTCTATCGCCCACCTTGGTCAAAACCTCTAAGGCAAAAATTTCACTCTGGCGACACTTAGCTCCTAGCAACAGCATGACACAGACATTCACCCTGACTGTGAATTTAGATTTGCCTTGTTAAGAGGGTTGCATAAACCCTACAGACTCCTTTCTCACAAACCCCCAAAGGTTCCTTTGGGATTCAAGTGGCCCTGCCTGGCAGGAGCTGGAACACACAACCCTGGGGAGGGGACAGCCCACCTTGGCATGGTGTACAGTCTTGCCGATGTGCCTGGTGAGCAGTGTGGCATACTCCTCGGCAGTATGCCTGCAGGTGCTGAGCCCGATGTTCTGCCCCACGTACTCTTCTGGTTTCTTCAGCAGGCTAAGAACCACAGGACCGAGGTCACTCACAGCCATGCCATCCATGGGGACGTCACCCATGGGTAGGTCTGTGGGGACAGAGAGATGTGCTAGCAGGGACAGAGTACCTCTGTGGGGGTTGGGACTGGTTTTCTCAGCAGTCAGTCCTCTAGGAACCTGCATCCATCAGCCTGGTCAGCGTCCAGGTGTGATGACAATAGCACTTCAGCATCCACCAGTCTTCCTCACCCTGGAAAAGGGGTCTGTCCAAATCACCCAGGAACCCAGGGGGATGGAGCCCAACAAAGAGACATAAATTCCTGGCAGTAGTTCTGCAAACTACAAAGGGCCATGCCAGTGGCCTACTAGTGGTTCCAGATTCTACTTTCCATGTGGGCAGGGCTCCCCTAGCTCTCTGCCAGTGCTAGTGCCCGCACGTGAGGATGAGCTCACACGTAATGAGAGGGAGTCAGGGCCTGCACCCAGGACTACCCTGATGACAAGTTATACCTCCCAGCTACACCTGCAGCTTCACAGGGTGAGAACTGTGAGTTGTGGGGGAACCCACCCAACAAGTAGCTCTTTCCATCTGGGGCTCGCTGGGGCAGGAAGTAGGAGAGGAGGTTCTCAAAATAGCAGGGCAGCCGCACACTGGTCATGGGAACGCCGATGTCTCGAAAGTATTCCTCCACCTCCCCTTTGCCATCGAAGTGGCCTGCTGCCAGCTTCCCTGCCGTCAGCTTCTTAATGTTCTCCAGGCCGCTGTAGACCACATAGTGGAGGCCCAGGCGCTTGGCCAGATCTGCCAACAGCTTTCCCTGGTGGACAGGAGAGATCACAAGATTAAGACCCCACTGGTCAAACTCAGCAATGAGCCCTGCTGTTAAGATTATGTGACCATCTCTGAAAGAAATCTGTGAAACCTAAGGATCTTTTATTTTATTTATTTTTGTTGGTGTGGGGCTTGAACTCAGCCTGGGCACTGTCCCTGAGCCTCGTTGTGCTCAAGGCTGCGCTCTACCACTTGAGCCACAGCACTACATCTGGTTTTCTGGGATAAGAGTCTCACGGACTTTCCTGCCCAGGCTGGCTTCAAATTGCGATCCCAAATCTCAGCCTCCTAAGTAAGGATTTTTTATTTTGAGAGAGAGTCACTGGAGATGTCACTAAGGATCTTGAGATGAGATCATCCTAGATTAACCATTAATCCAATACAAGTGACCTTACAAGAGTCAAAGAGGCACTACTGGCTCTTGCCTATAATTCCATATGCTATGCAGAACTGAAGTTTGAAGCTAATCTGGACGGATAAATCCATGAGACTTTTTAATACATTTTTTATTGTAAAAATACCGTACAGAGGGGTTACAGTTACATGAGTAAGGCAATGAGTACTTTTCCTATCAAGCATTGTTACCTCCTTTGTTTTTCCCCTACCATCCCTTCCCTTCCCACCTCCCCAACTCCCCCCCCCCAAGTTGTAAAGTTCATTTTTCAACATAGTGTCCCATGAGACTCTTATCTCCAGTTAACCAGCAAAAAGAACTGGAGGAATTGTTCAAGTGATAATGCTCCAGCCATGAGCAAAAAAAGCTGAGCAAGAGGCTCTGACTTCAAGCCCCAGAACTAGAAAAAATAAATACTCTTTATCAAAACAAATACCAGGAGGTGAAAATATGTTTTGAAACATGGGCAAAGGGAGGGGGTGCCACAGGAATGGAGAGAGGAAGGGTGAGTAACTATAGTCATTATAGTCAATACACATTATATAACTTGGGAGGGAAAGGACAGGGAAAATGGAAGAAAATGAAGAGGGGGGGGGGTTGGCCAAGAAGCATTGTACTCATAACCTGACTTAAGGGATTATAGCCCCTTTGTACAACTATTTAATAATGCTAATAATTATAATAAAAGTCAGGAGTTAGGCATGGTAGTTATACACTTAGAATCCCAGCTATACAGGAGATAGAGCTAGGATGACCATGGTCAAAGGCTAGCAGAGGCCAAAGTTAGTTCAAAACCCTATCTCAAAAACAAAGCTGGCTACAGTGTCTCAAGCCTATGATCCTAGCTACCTGGGAGATGGAGATCAGAAGATCTCAGTTCAAGACCAGCCCGGGCAAAAAAGGTTCATGAAGTCTCATGGAGTTCATGAAGTCAAGAAGGAGTCCCATCTTGACAATGCTGGGCGTTGGTAGTGCATACTTTTCCTCCTGAGCTATAGGGTAAGCACAGTGACTGGGTGCTTAAGTGTACACCTGCACAAATAGGATGACAGTCCAACTTGGGCATAAAGCAAGACCCTATCTTGAAGACAACTCAAAAAGGAATAAGAGAAGACACATGAAGAGAAGACCATATGAAGACAGGCAGAAGTTGGAGTGATATAGTCACAAGCCAAAGAATGCCTGGAGCTACTGAAGGTGGAAGAGGTGAGGAAAGATCCTCCCCACCTAGGGCCTTTGGAGAGGGAGTATGAGTATGCTGTGATTTTAAACCACACAAATATGGCAGGGTGCTGGTGGCTCACGCCTATCATCCTAGCTACTCAGGAGGCTGAGATCTGAGGATCATGGTTCAAAGCCAGCCTGGGCAGGAAAGACTGTGAGACTCCTATCTCCACTAAACCACTGGCGCTGTAGCTCAAGTGGTAGAGCGCTTGCCTTGAGCTGAAGAGCTGAGGGACAGCATCCAAGCCCAGAGTTCAAGCTCCATGACCACCATCACCAACAACAAAAAAAAAAATAAAAAAAACACAAATATGGTCATTTGCCACAGTAGATCCTGGATGCTCACACAGGTTTTCAAGGATTACAATGAGATTTGGTTGGGTGCCCATGGCCCACACCTGTAATCCTACCCACTCAGGAGGTTGAGATCTGAGAATCAAGGTTTGAAGCCATCCTGGAAAGGCAAATGTATAAGACTTGTATCTCCAACTAACCACCAAAAAGCCACAAATGGAAATATGGCTGAAGTAGTAGAGTGCTAGTCTTGAATGAAAAAAACAAAGGGACAGTGCCAAGGTCCTGAGTTCAAGCCCCAGAGTCAACACACACACACACAATTTGTTTTACCCAGAGACTGTCCACTCTGTTGTGGTCTCCATGTAGTTTGCCTCCCAGGGTTCTGGTGCTAAAGGTTACGGGTGGTTTGAGAAGACGAAGGCCTGCAGTGCTTGGCTCCTAGCAAAGCAGATCAACTAGGGTCAAAGATGCCTCTCCCATCTGCCCTCACCTGCTTGACCTCCAGTTCCTGGCTGCAGTTTTCCCAGTAGTTGGTCACGATGAAGGTGGCATGAGCCCCGGTCAGAGCCAGCTCCATGCTGGCCTCATCACTCTGGTCTCCCTATACTACTTCTGCACCCTGCTGTTTCAGCTCCTTCGCTGCTCTCTGCCCAGGGTCCCGGGTCACTACTCGAACCCTGAATGTTCCATCTTCCAGGAGTGTGCGGGCCACTGAGCCCCCTTGGGCACCTGTGAAGAGTCAGAAAACTTCCAGAGTCACTACTGACAGTCCTGAGAAAGCAGAGCTCAGAAGCGACTGCTGCACCACAGCAAGGAGCTGTGGTGTATTCACATATAATTCACTTAGCATAACATTTACCTTTTCAGTCCTGGGGATAGAACCTATGGTCTGTAAAATACTAAGTAAGTGGGCTGGGAAGGTGGCTCAGTGGTAGAGCGCTTGCCTTGCATGCATGAGGCCCTGGGTTCGATTCCTCAGCACCACATAAGCAAAAAAAAAAAGCCAGAAGTGGCGCTGTGGCTCAAGTGGTAGAGCGCTAGCCTTGAGCTGAAGAGCTGAGGGATAGCACCCAGGCCCAGAGTTCAGGCCCCACAAACTGGACCCAGCCCCCCCCCCAAAAAAAAAGATTATTAGGCAAATGCTCTAACACTGAACCACATCCCCAGCTCAACAACCCCAACACCCTTTAGTTGGGGTTGTTTGTTTCTTGTGGCATGGCCTCTGTATGAAATTAAGGCTGGCCTCAAACTGTATTATCTTCCTGCCTCAGCCTCCTCAGTGTCAGGAGTATACTACCAATGTTTTTTTCTTTTAATGTACAGGGTAGTGCTTTTCCAGGCCCTGGGTTCCATACCTGGCACAGAAACCAAGTTTAAAAAGCCTACAAGCAAGCAGGCCTGTAATCCTAGCTACTCATAAAGATGAGATCTGAGAATTGAGGTTTGGAGCCAGGAGGAGCAGACAATCCAAAACTCTCATGGCACCAGCCTAGGAAGAAAGTTTAATAAGGGACAAGGCCCTGAGATCAAGCCTTCAATATCAGGGGATTTAAAAAGCAAAGTAGTAAATAAAATCCTTATTCTACTTGTAAATTAATATGTTGAACTGAAGCCATTTGGTACAACTAATTTCTTAAGAAAACACCATTTAAAAAAATCCCTCATAGGTGTAGCTCAGTGAAAGAATTTAGGTTTAGCTGTGGTAAGTCTTGAATCTGACCCCTAGCACGCAAAAAGAAGAAAATACACACACACACACACACATGCGTGCATGCATACAAACACACAAAAGGAAAAGTGGGGTGGCAAGATAGTGTTTACTGGGGGATAACCCCAGAAATTTGCTAATTGATGGAAGAGGGGCGTAGGAAAATACAATTTGGTATCCTGTACATGTAACTTTTTTTTAAATCTAAAAGTCATCTGCACTCAATTTCTGCGCCTTGGGTCTCTGCAGACCCAGGATAGAGCAGCTGTGGCTCGCGCAGGCCTGGCCCGCCGGCTCACCTGTGGCTCCAAAAACCACCACCAGTTTCTGGTCCGCCATGAAGGGCTCCAGGCGAGGGGCGAGGTCCCAAGGCTGAAGTGGCCGGATTGCAGAAGTGGAAATAGACGATCTGGACGCAGAACCGCCGGAGACGCCGCGTGCGCACCAAAGAAGAGCGGGCTGGTGGTTGCAACCCCGCCCCCTTTGCCCGCCCACCACAGGACCCCGCCCACTTCCGGGCACGCCCACCGCCCCTCTTTCCGGCCAGCGAGATCTCCACCTCCCTCGCAGCTGGCCAATGGGAAACGCCCAATGGGAAACGCCCACTGGGCGGGGCCCTGCCTGGGCACTCTGTGCACCCCGCCCGCCAGCCTGCAGCAGAGCCCACTGCCGACGGGTGGTTCTGCCCTGAGTGAGCTGCCTGACCCACTCCAGCTCCCACCCATCCTGGCAGAGCCCCCGTAGGCCGCGTTGTACCCGAGAATCCCCCTCCAGTTCGCGGCTCCTGGACGCCCGCAGTCCTTGTCTTGAGCATGGCCCTGCACGCCGCAGACCTTGCTCTTCCCCACATATTGGCCCAAATGGTTTGTCCGGATCCTGGCCGGATGCAAACGTGTTTGCGCAAGCCTGGAAAAATCTTGCAAATCACTTCTTCCTCTAGTGCACGTGTCGGGGAGGCTGCCTGACCTGAGGCGGGACGAAAAAAACAAACAAAAAAAGGAAAGGAAAAAAAAAACCCATTGCGTTTTCTCTCTTACCGCCAACCAAGCCTGTGGCTATAACTCTTAACCTCCAAAGTCCGGCCTGTTGCAGTGCTTGGGTATGCCTGAGTCACGTTTGCAGTTGTCAGGACTTGCTCTGATTACAATCCTTTTTATTACATGGTAGGTCTTGTGTTTAATCAAACTTCTGAAATGACTCCTAAAAAATTATTGCTGTTGGCTTAAGATCACTATTTTTTTCCTTACTTGTATCAAGATCCCAGACCAAAGTCATCTTTTTTTTTTTTTTTTCTAGTCCTGGGACTCGAACTCTGGTCTAGAGCACTGTCTCTGAACTTCTTTTGTGGAAGGCTAGCAGTCTACCACTTGAGCCACGGTGCTACTTCCAGCTTTCTGTGTGTGTGTGTGTGTGTGTGTGTGTGTGTGTGTGTGTGTGTGTGTGTTACTGAGGAATCGAACCCAGGGTGTCAAGCGTGCTAGGCAAGCACTCCACCGCGAAGCCACACTCCCAGCCCCCAAGGTCATCTTTTGCAGAGCATCTGTTTTGCTGGCACTGCTGATTCTTAGCACCAGAAGTGGTATCTGGAACAAGGCAGACATTGAAACAACTTTTGAACAGCCTGGCACTGCAGTTACGAGGTCAAGTCAGAAAGCGGCTGCTGTTTTAGTTATAATCTAGCCTTTGAGATAACCCACAAGATGATGGGGTTTTTGTTTTTCCCAGGCGAGGGGTGGAGCCCACTACCCGGGCAAGACGACTGCTCGGCCAATGAGCGAAACAACCTCAGTCCTGGTTTAATGCCTCCCGCCTCTCGTAGGGGGGCGTGGCGTGATGTCTGGGGGCGTGTCTCTAGTAGGCCCCGCCCTCGCGCTGCGTGCGCACGTCGCGCCGTCCTGTCGCTGGCCCGCTCGGCTGCGGCGCCGCGGAGGGAGTCGCTGACTTGGGGATTGGCGGATTTGGGGAGCGCACTGGCTGCGGGGTGAGTGACCCGCGTTCTCCCTGGCCTTCCTGTCGTCTGTTCGGACAGCGCCGCCGGGACCCCGCGGGTCCTGACCTGACGGGGCTCCTCAGGAACTCGTCGGGGCGCGGGGCTGAGGGGACGCCGGGCGGGGGGCGGCCGGAAGCCGGTGAGGGAGGCGGAGGAGCGGCCGACCGCGGGGACCCGGGCGGCGGCGGAGTGTCAGGTGAGGACGAAGCCTCGCCTGGGGGGGCCCGGGCCGCCTCAGCGGCTCCCTGATGTCCCGTGGGGCCCAGCCCTCGCAGCGTCCCGGGTGAGCTTGGCGAGGGGCCCCCGGGGTCCGCGACGGGAGCCCGGCGTCGCTGTCCCGCTGGCTGTCGGCCGCAGCTCCGTCCTTGTAGTGACTCACCTCGTGGGAGGCGCCCTTTGCGTCAGCGTGGGGACTTTGGGGGTGACCTCCGGTGTCCTTTTGTGTGTGGGTGTGTGTTTGCCGGTCCTGGAGCCTTGAACTCAGGACCTGGGCTGCCCCTGAGCTTATTTTTTTTGGGGGGGGAGGGTCGCTCTACCATTTGAACCACAGCTCCACCTCCACCTTTTGGGTGTTTAATTGAAGAGTCACATGAACTTTCCTGCTCTGGCTAGCTTTGAACCTCCGTCCTCATATCTTCAACCTCCTGAGTAGCTAGGGTTACTGGCATGAGCCACTACGCCCGGCTTAGATCTGGTACCCTTTAGTGCAGAATTCAGCAAGAGGAGCAATGACCTGTAAGTGAAGCTGGTTAGTCTGGATGAGGAGTTCACTCACTAGTCACCTTCTGAGTATTGTGCTTTAGGCGTCCTAATTGCCTTGTAAAAGCTGTCGGGACCGCCTTGCACAGTCTTTGCAAAAGGCCTCTCTGTGGGTCACGCCCCTTAAATTGGTTCTGAAGGACCAGTTGTCGTGGCCGGTGGCTGTTCTTCTTACTGTGCTTTGTTGATGATGCCATAAACTGGACAAGACCGGGTTTGAACGGTAACCTTTTATAATGTACTATAATTGAGAGCAAGACCTCTTGCTCTCAAGCTCTCCCTGAATCTTGTGAGTTGATCATTTCTCCTGTCTGTAAAATGAGATCAACAAGAGACTCATGGGAAGTAACTTGACCTACATCCCACAATCAAGAAGATAGCACAGGTGATGTTGAACTCGGCAGTTTGGCCCCAGATAGATACTGTGCTCCTTCCTAAACGGAGTTGTAGAAATTGGAAATGGATTACGTTGTTGAAGTGGTCTTCCTTCACTCCTGTCAAGTAAAAGGATATAAAATGGTTTTGTGCCTTTGAATTTCTGGCATGGTGTTCATTAACAAGTGTATATCATTTTTTGGTGATGGGACGGAATCTTGGGCCTCTTGCATGTGTGTATGTGGGCTTTTTTTTTTTTTTTCTTGCTTTTTTTTTTTTTTTTTAATAGAGCCTGTTCTGTGTAGCCAAGCTGATTTGGGATCACAGTTCAAAGCCAGTTCAAGCAGGAAAGTCTGTGAGACTCTTACCTCCAATGAACCACCAGAAAACCAGAAGTGGTGCTATGGCTCAGGTGGTAGAGCGCTTGCCTTGAGCTGCAGAGCTCAGGGTCAGTGCCCAGGTCCAGAGTTCAAGCCCCACGACCAACCAAAAAAAGGAAAAAGTTTCCAAAAATAGTCTTAGAGCCAAAACACTGATGTAGGTTTGGGAATATGTGGGCCTTGTGTTCATTGAATGACCTAATCCAGCTAGGGATATAAAGAGTAAATCCTATGATTCCCCTTTGAATGACTTGACTTCCATTTTTCCTTTGCTTGGGTCAATAAGTTGAGCTGCTTTGAGTCAAAGGAAGCAAGAATAGGACCTACTTAGAAATGACAATACCAGTGAGTTACATAAAATTTAATGTTTATTACCTTTAGCTTATCCCTCAATAAGACACCTAGGGCTGCCTTCATTTTCAAATTTCTTTTAAGTAGGTGACTTGTTATAGGACAGTTGGGCTCTGCATGTAGATTGCACCAAAAACCGGAATATAATTCCTACAGAGATCAGATCTTTTAGAAATTGGAATTGTTATGTTTTGACATGAAATGTAAAACTCACCTTGTCACTCCTTGGAGAAAAAAAAAGATGAAGAATTTGACCTATAAGTTGCCTATGTTGCTGGTCATAGTTAACTAAAAAGTTACAAACATAAATGACATAGCCTTTTTCTCTGATAGTAGCTAAAAGGAGAATCAAGAATTCTGGAGATGAGATGTGCCTCAGTAGTAGCATGCTTACCTATCATGCCAAAAGCCCTGGGTTTGATCCCCAGTTCTGCCAAAAATAATAAGTGAAAAGTCAAGACCACATTCCCTTTTGTATACAAGACATTGAAGATTCTCAGATCTCAGCCTCCTGAGTAGGAGTACAGGCATAAACCACTGGGGCCAGGCTTCTCAGTCTTTTCTTTAATAATAACATTAGTTGTGGCTGGGAAGGGAGGTGAAGGGTAAACAAAGGAGGAGGCTGCAATGCTTGGTAAGAAATGTATGCATTATCCTGCCCATGTAATTGTAACCCCTCTGTACAGTATGTTCTCAAATAAAATAAAATTAAATTAAAAAAAAAACAAAAACATTAGTTGTGGGGTTTTGTTTTGTTTTTCTGTGGTAGAGGGAATTGAACCCAGATTCTTTTTATTTATTATTTATTAATTAATTTATTTATTGTTGGTTGTGGGGTTTGAACTCAGGGCCTGGGTGCTGTCCCTGAGCCTCTTTGTGCTCAAGGCTAGTGCTCTACTCTTGACCACAGTGCCACTTTCAGATTTTGAGTGGTTAATTGCAGGTAAAAGTCTCACAGGGACTTTTCTGCCTGGGCTGGCTTTGAACCACAGTCCTCAGATATCAGCTTCTTGACTAGCTAGGATTACAGTTGTGAGCCACCAGCGCCCAGCTGCCATTTGTTTTTGATTTGGGACCAGGGTCTTGATATCTTTTTGGCCAGGTTGACTTTGAACTCAGGATCCATCTTCTGAGTCCCCAGGATTATAGGCACATACCAACATGCCCAGCTAAGAGTAATATTAATAATATTACTCTTATTAAAGTAATATTAATAATATTACTCTTATTAAAGTAATATTAATAATATTACTCTTATTAAAGTAATATTAATAGTAATAACTAAGAGTAGTTACTTGGCTTATTAAGAGGCAAGATATAAAGCTGTTGTAAAGAGAAGCCATTTATAAACAGCCCAACACATCTAAAATGACATCTAAATTTCAGTTATGACCACCTGACCTGGAGTGGGACAGGATTTCACCATTTTTCTCCTAGCATGTCCATATTAAGATCCTCCTGCCTTAGCCCCCCAAGTGCTTGGGTTACAGATGTATATTACCATGCCCATTTTAACCATATATTCGTACAATGGTATAACTATTTTAAGCAAATATTTTATTTATTTATTTATTTATTTTTTGTCGGTCGTGGGGCTTGAACTCTGGGCCTGGGCGCTGTCCCTCAGCTCTTCAGCTCAAGGCGAGCACTCTACCACTTGAGCTACAGCGCCACTTCCGGTTTTCTGGTGGTTTATTGGAGATAGGAGTCTCACGGTCTCTCCTGCCCGGGCTAGCTTTGAACCGCGATCCTCAGATCTCAGCCTCCTGAGTAGCTAGGATTACAGGCGTGAGCCACCAGCGCCCGGCTTAAGCAAATATTTTAAATCAAGGACTGTCAGCTAGTAAAAAGTGGGATGTGGTGCCATATGCCTGTCATCCCAGTTATACATAAAGCGTAAATGGAGGATTTGGCCTCAGCCAAAAGCAAGACCCTATTTGACAAGCAACAGTGGAAAAGGGGCTCTAGCAAGCCCAAGCTCCTGAATTGAGTTCAAACCCTATTACCACAAAAATAAAAAAGAG